CATACCATCATAAAATTAAGATGTTATTTTTACTACAACATAGGTATTGTGTTGGAAAAAGTGGAGTTTGGGGGTCGGGCCAGTCTCTATTGGAATTAATCCCATATGTTCTGTTGTTCACTTTACTCGGTTTTCACTTTCCGCGGTACCCCGTGGGTTCAATTGACTGCGTAAATCAAATCGGGGTACTACTGTATATTTATTTTTACCCACAAAAAGGCATACTAGGACAAATTATGTATCTAATATTACATTATGCAAAAACTAACATATTTAAAGATCAGAATTACATTAAAATATTACACATCCCCCTGAAACTTGGTGGCTAAGTGTGATAGACTGGGGAGCTTGGCCTCTTGAGCCGTCAGCAGAGGCGGGAAATATAAAGTTATTCACAGTTATATTTCCCGCCTCTGCTGACAGCCGCGTATAATTTGCATGTGATTCTGATCTTTTAAGATGTTAGTTTTTGCATAATGTATTACTGATACTGTACGTAATTTGTCTTGGTATGCTTTACTGTGGGTAAAAATAAGTACAATATATGTTAAATGCATCCTCCGAAATCGTGAATTTGTTACCAGAGTTTAACAGTTAATTCCTGTATAAGATTTCTGATAAACTTCCTGCGTGCTCATGTTTGAAATAATGAATGTATGTATCATTACAGGTATATAATTTAGCTAAATATCTTTCTCGTCAGAAACGGTCATCCCAGTCTTTAAAGTGTATAACAGGGTTAGAAAAAGAATATTACATCAACAATAAAATAATATGAAACAGAACCCTCTGGAATCAGACATTTTAGTCGGGTTGTCAACAACTGTTGTCACCGAGATGATTGTTATTTACTGTAAAGTGTTATATGTAAGTAACCACAAAATTTGTCTTATGAATAATGGGAAAACTGTATACTGTACAGTACTATAAAGATAAACGTAAGAACAAATAAGAGTAGGAGTACAGCTCCTCCCCGACTTATGACTTACTCGACTTACGACCACCCGCACTTACGACCTGCCTCAGTGGCACCAAAATTTTGTCAAATTACGTATTTTCGAGTCCCAACGTCAGTACACAGACAAAATTTTCGTTTGTAATTCACTTTAAAATGGCTGGCAAGCTTAAAAGTGAGTTTTGTGGTGCTGAGAAGAAAAAGAGACACCCATTTTAGATTTTCTATGTATTATTTAAGCATTTTCGACTTACAGTGAGTTCTGCTATAACGCGTGTTTTGTCATCACTTGATAAATACTAATGCAGTGTATTTATCACCATTTAGTAAATACTATTTTGTATTTATCATCACTTTATAAGTCATATTGTAGTGCACATTATTATGCATCAGCATGTACAGTGAGTTCTGCTATAACGCGTGTTTTGATAACGCGAATTTGCTCTAACGCGATTTATGAATTCGGAACAATATTTGTATAACGCGAACGCTTGTTTGCTATAACGCGATTTTTGCTTACTATTTCTCCAATTTTGTGGTATTAACTGTGAATATGGTAAAGAAGAATATCTCCAAAAAGCGTTCTGATGATAGAATTCCCGGTGATTATCGTAAAAGAAAGGATATAACACTTGAAGAGAAGCTCGATGTTATCAACCTCAAAATCACCCTTCTCCCCCATCAAGTTACATTCATATTTTTTCAAGGTAAAGTGTTACATTTACTGTATGATTTTATAATTAGATATGAATGTAACATTTATTTAGACTGTGCTATCCTTTGTGTTAGGCTAACTAAATTTTTTCGATTTCGAGTAATCTGCACCTAACCCTATTTTCTCCATAAGCCCTGTTATTTCTATTACGCGATTTTCTATAACACGATATTTTACAAGAACACAATTATCGCGTTATAGCAGAACTACCTGTACCCTGTTTTATTCATTAATCATTTGTCTCAGTGTACAAGTAGCCAAATTGAGCCATCAAATAACACTCAGTGGTAGAAAATAACATTTTTAGGAAGGTATCTTCATATCAATTACTATAATAGTGTATTATAGTGATCCCTGTTGTCAGCAAGTCTCCTGAAAGTTCTCATACGAACGCATCTTGACTAAATAACCTTCAGATACAGCTTGTCTTTTTATTTTCAAGTCTTATTACAAACTACCTACAGTTTTGTATTTTTTCTCTATTACTGAAGATTTTATATTAATCATGATGAACCATAAACCATAAGAGGCCAATCATATGAGAATATAATACTCATTCAATAAAAAACCTGACAAATGCGGCAACACCTGATCAGCCCCAGCTGCTTACATACCCAAGTGTCTTCGTTCTCAGTAGGCCTATAACAAATCTGATTAAACCGCTGTACAGTACAGTGATCCCTCAGTTAACAACCGCCTCGGTTTATGAGATTTCGGCTAACGATTTACCTTCCATAGATTCTTAACTTCGGTTAACGAGCAATCCCTCGATTAACGAGCTTCTTATGAGCGGACCTCAACATGTTTTCACTTGCATTTGGTGGTCCACCAGCTGTGGTATTAGTCCTCCAATACAGTAATCGGTTCTAGGGCTTAAATTCCTTACTATTTTAGTAAATATCAAGAAGTTTATACTATTCAATAATTTTAAAAGTTTAATATTAAATTTTTTAGTCATTTTAACAATTATTGAACATAATTGAAGTACAGGAAACTAGTTTTATGCGCGCCAAACAGCCTGTCAACACACCAAACAGGTGTCAGTCTCTGTGTCTTTTCAGTGGAGGTAACATCTTGCTTGAGACTCTCTTCAACTAAATGCTTTTTACGTGTTACCAAGCGAATTATTGGTCATTTTGAAATTTATTTTACATATTGACAATATATAATGCAGTGCAGTGTTGATTTAAAGAAAATAATCTTGAACTACACCAAGAGAACTAAAATTTTATGGGTGAAATGGCACCATGGGGTGACTTCTCTTCCACCCCAATGCCTTCTCTTCTCCTTTCCTCCACCCCCATTCTAATTCCCATCATCACCATCATCATCCAGGAGCCTTCTACATACACACCTCAAAGTAAGTGTACCCGTATATCCTGGCCTATAAGACGAAATTTGAACATTAAAAAAATCTGCCCAAAGTTAGGGGGTCGTCTAAACCACCAAGTTTAAAATTCTTACCTCTTAAATATTGTGGTTTAGTGTGTCAAGAGTGGTGATGAAAACATCGTAAGCCACTCACAAGGTCTTACCACTAATTATTTTATACTGAAACTTACGTTTGGCAAGCTGGATTCAAATTAAGATTACCGGTATATTAAAATAATAAAAATGTATTATAAACCTGTCTAACATACCGTAAAAGAGATTTATACCCCTATAATAAACACAGCTATCATCACACACCCCTCCCCACGCCCCCCCCCCATTTGCCAGTGAGGAGCCGTGGAGGTGGTCAGTAATGCATACCGGTATCGGTATATTTACTCATAATAATATTTATCTCCTATAAATAATTGATTTAAATTTTATTTTTTTCCAAAGAATATTCAGTAAATGAGTGCATTAATTCTTGAAACTATCGACGGTTAATTACAGACGCTCAAGTGACGTCACTAGTGTTTACACTACACCAGCTGGTAATATTTGATGCCATTACTTGAAGTGAATTGGCCTTATTTTAAGTAACTAACTATAAATAAATACAAAAATTAAAAAAAAAGATCAAAACTGAGAAATAATATACTGTATGTATGTTGTGTTGTCAAAGTAAGAGGAACAATTGTGTAAGTACGTAATATTTTTTCACTCAAATCCTAATGAAACACTACTGGAGAACATTCCTTTGTCGCAAAACAGTTTATAAATTAAAGAAAATAATTACAGTGTGTTTAATATATTACAGTATATTATAAATAAATAAATAAAACAAATAATTCAGTAAATCTATTTAAAGTAAATGGAAAATAAGCAAACATGTTATTTACCAAGACCCTTCCGTCTGGCTCAGGGTGAGATGTAGGGGAGATAAAGAAGGCTATTTATAGCCCATCAGAAGTGACCAGTACCCTAATGCACCATAAATAATTCATTGAACATTCATTTTTTGTACATAGTATATTCAGTATATATATATATATATATATATATATATATATATATATATATATATATATATATATATATATATATATATATATATATATATATATATATATATATATATATATATATATATATATATATATATATATATATATATATATATATATATATTTGTGTAATAAATGTATGTAGTAAGTACATACTGGTAACCTTTTTCACTCAAATCCTAATGAAACACCACAATTAGAATACGGTGGTTGCTGTTGAACCACATGTTGTATAAATAGTCACACCACCGAGACGAGGGAACACTCCCAACACGCTTCAGTGACGTCACTAGTGTTTACACTACACCAGCGGGTATAATTTGATGACATTACTTGAAGTGAATTGGCCTTATTTTAAAAAATCAAGGATGGTTGGTAAAGGACTACTGAGTCAGTGGGTAAGTGTCACATTTGGGGTACTGGTCTTATACAGCAAATAGAGCTCAAAAGCTACTTTTTAAATGGAAATTTGGGGGGGGCGTCTTATGCACCCCGCCGCCTTATAGGCCGTGATATACGGATTTGCTACCTTTTTTGTTGATTTTAGGCAATTTTCGGTGAGCTGGAACCAATTACCCAAAAACCCATTGAAACAATGGTTTCGGTTAACGAGCAACCTTCTGGAACGAATTGTGCTCGTTAACCGAGGGACCACTGTATTCAGTAAGTGTTGTTCATTTCATAAAAAATTTTTTTTTATTAATCTTCCCCATTTAAAATATTTTTTGGGTGTGTTTTATTTTCTAGTGACCAGAGCATCTCAGAGTCTGAAAAAGGCGAGTCTGATATATTGAGGTTTTACTGTACAGTATTACAGAAATACCTTGCACAATATATTTACTGTTGCTAGATTAGTGAATGTAAAAGTAAGACATTATAAACTGTATGTCCATAGGGAGGAGTACTACACTGTGTCTCATACCCTGTGTCCTGCCAAGAACTACAAAGTTTCCGTTCAAGGCATCCCGGACACAACCCAGCGTCTCTTCATTGATGTTTCAACATCATCACCATCAAATGTGACTTTTACAGTTAATGTTGATTTTGAAAAACAATTTTTGATTGAGTGAGTATAACATACTGTACAGGTATGTCACTGTTTTAACTTGTTACAGGTCTTAGTTTTTTATTACTGACACAGTGAATCAGATGACTAATATACTGAGTTAACAAGCAAACAAATTAACCTCAGGGGTCTCAAAGACTATTTATTTGTTCAATTGGTCTAAACTCCAGAAATTCAGCAAAACTAGAAAACTAGAGATAAGATTTTTCCCTGCACAGATGCTGTCTTTATAGTGGGTAATACTGAAGAACCAATTGTCGTAGTCTGTTAACTGTGAGTGTTTGCCACCGTGTTACTACAGGTTGTACCTCTCTAGTCCGGCAACCTCGGGACCTGACCGGTGCCGGACCATGGAAATTGCCTGACCATGGAATTTCACCCTTTTCCTGGATAGATAGTGACTTGTGCTTAAGCCTGGAAGCACTAGCACCACTTTATCTGCATCATGGTCTCTTTGAAGACATATTGAAGGGTTAAATGTCGTATAGTAGCTTCTCAAATTTCGCGAGTTTTTAATTCTTAACGTATTTTATTGGAACACACAAAATAATAAATAAATAAAAATTTTGACGGCGGAAACTTGAATTTCGACGGGTTTGAACGGCCCGCCAACGTGCAGACGACGTGCATAATCGTGTAAACAGCGTCATTTCTCTTTATGTACAAAAGATTCATTATTGTTTATTACTGAATGTCTTTTTTATTGAATTAATGTTTATGTGTGCAAAATGAGCAATACAATTCATTAATAATACGTAGAATATTAAAACACACGAGGAAATGACACAGCATTGTATTCGTTGATTACAAAACCAGTGACTGACTGGTTCTATATATAAAACTGAAGAAAATAAGACCTTGGTTGTAGCTGTAGTAAAATTAATATGGTTGTTTTAAGTAATGTTATTTAATATTAATAAATGGAACAATAGAAGTAGCTAACGATAATGGTAAAGAAAAAGAGAGATCGCATATGTAAGTGCGCATGCGCACACGTGAAAACATATCGTCATTACTTTACATAAGAATATGAAAGCAACACTTATTTACTGTTCATATATATTTTAATTAATGTTTCTGAATTTGTTTTTATTGAATTAATGTTTGTGTGTGCAAAATTAACAATACAATTTATTAATAATACGTGGAATATTAGAGGAGACGAGACGGCTGCCGGCATTGTTTATGTTAAAGCTTACGAAACCAGTGACTGATTGGTTCTACATATAAAACTGAAGAAAATAAGACCCTGAGTTTAGCTGTAGTAAAATTAATGTAAAAAATGAATATGGTTGCTTGAAGTACCTGTAATGTTATTTAATGTTAATAAATGGAACAATATAAGTAGCTAACCATTAATGGTAAAAAAAAAAGTGAGACTGCTCGTATGTAAGTGCGCACATGTGAAAATATATCGTCATTACTCTACATAAGAATATGAAAGCAATACTTATTTACTGCTCATATATATTGAAGGGTTAAATGTTGTACTCTGTATAGACTAGCAGAGAGAGAGAGAGAGAGAGAGCAGCCGAACTGCCGGATGTAAACAAACCTTAATTTCCTGCGACTTTTTATTTTTATTAAGGGGATTAGCCCACCCGGGAATAGGTCACTGACCCACATTAGGGCCTGAGGGGCAAAAATTTAATGATCCTGTAATAATAATAATAATTCAGATAAGTAAAAAAAAAAAAAAAAAAAAAATCTGCCTATCTACCTATTGGACAAACTAAAATCGTTCCGGACCACAGAATGCCGGACTAGAGAGGTACAACCTGTACTTATGTGCTCCATGACCCAAGCATGCCATAAAGTTACCAGTCTTCCCTCTATTTTTTAAAGTCTCTTATCCTTGTGTTATTGGCAGCAAAGTGAGTAGGAAGTCTGCTATAGGATAAGTTAGGTAACAGAGAGCACTGTTAGAGAAACTCCCAATTTATGATTTATCAGAGATATACCACATATACAGGGTGTCTCAAAAATATATATACACACTGCCTCACAAATTTTCATGGTGAGTGTGAGAATTCCTGTATATGAACAGCATCATTATCCTAACCTTTAATGTGAGAGGTCTCCCACAAGTGGCGGACAATATTGCTGCTGTGATACAAGCAGTCACTCGGTCTCCATGAAAATTTGTAAGGCCTTATTTTTGAGACACCCTGTTTAGAGGCTGTGGTTGAGTTAGGAGAGACACTCTTGTTTTTTAGTTATAGCCCAGGTGCAAATACCTGGGAGGCCTGTGATCAAAACCATAAGCTTATTTAATTAGTACATGAGTTGACCATTCCATACTGGCTGTAAAGTAGGATTTCAGGATCACTTCCTCATTTTTATACAGAATATTTTAACATTTAGCCAATGTGTTTGATGTGTAAGTTTAATAACTAAAGCTGATGACTTTGTTTTAACCTTCAACCAGTGACTGATGATAAAACATCTCTGATGATGGCTGCTGTTAATTATTATTCCTATTATTATTATATAAGCTTCAGAAGTTTTGATGGATATTATAATTTTATTTAAATTGCGTATTGTAATTAAAAGTAAGAAATATATTTTGTTTTTATTGTTTGCAACTACAGTTTACACACCTCCAGCACCACCAGGGTGTTCGATGTAACACCATCACAACCTGTGTTTTATGAGTTCATGTTCCCAGAAGATGTAGACATGGTATTGGTGAAGGTGAATGCTGAGGATGACTTCTGTGCCATGGTCGCTATTCAGAATATCACAGTAAGTCAAACTATTTTTTTTCCTTAGGTCTTCCTATTGCTTCATATAATTATACTGTACGTATATGAAAAAAAACAATGGGAGTCTTTTAGTTCCCATAAAATGTGAAATTTCTCTAAATTTTATGTGTTTATGAAATACTGTAGCTCATTTAAATTGTTCATTTTCACAGTGTCCAGTGTTTGACAGTGAAGAGAATGTTGAGTATGGCAACTCCTACCAGACCATGACCTACCAAGCTGGTATTACAGTCAGGGTTAGTGGAGGGTTGGAGATTTGTCCCATACACATAAAACTTCATATATTTGATGCTGTATTTACATGCAGACATATATAATATTTTCCTACATACATAATATTCTTCAACATTCCTCTTAGTCTTTGTTTATTTTATTTTAAACTTTGAGAATCCTTGTATACACTTACATACTGTACAGTATTTATTAAGTCTAAGTGGATTTTGTATCCAGTTTGTGTTTTGATTTGTGTGTATAATGCAAGAAGTGTGAAGATCTTAACATTAACCCTTAACTAGCAGCTAAAAATTCCCTACATGGCTGCTGTCCCATTAGCTAACTTCCACTGCTGATGGCTGCCATATAAGGATTAATTAAAAACCATTATCCAGTTCCTCAGAGTGACAGCTGCTTTTCTCTTTCTGCCCAGAAACTAGATTACCCCAATGGTTTGTATATACTGGTGGTAATGCTGTCGACTGACGAAGCTTGCTCTGCCACATTCCAACACGTATATCGCAATAGGAAGAAAACAGTCACACTCACCATCGAGGAAAAGATTACCAAGCTAGAATATCTTGCCGCCATCTTTGCCGGCCTTGGTTACTGTGCGTTTTTTTACATTGTAACACTCGTCTTGGCTTGTATATCATATGTCAGGTAAGAAGTGCCAGTACTGTATACCTGCATTGTCTCTATACCATACATGCTGAACCAATTGTAAACTTGTATGAAAATTTTTCTGAAAAATTGCTATCTATCTATTTATCTATGTATCTATGTCTTAAGCTATTTGTTCCATCACAGAAATCAATGTTTATTTTATTAAATGAGAAATAGGATTAATGTTGAGAAGATTTCTATTGTTTATTCATTTTCTGTTTGCATTCTTTTGTTATGAAATTTCCCTTTAAACAGATGAATATTTTTTTGTTATGGATTTTTCTTCTTTTTTCACTCATCACAGAAATGGCCTTAAGAAATGATCTAATTTTGGTGGGTTTCCTATTTGATATGACACAAAGAATTAGCTAGCTTGTAACTATCTTTCAATGATAACAATCACATTATTCAACAGGAAAGGTAAAGGAATTTGTGACTGATACAGAGATAGTGATGGTAAACCTCTGAAACATTGTGCAGAGTTTGAGAATGTATGAATGATTGTGAAGAGCTTGAGAATGTATGAATGATTGTGAAGAGTTTGGGAATGTTTGAATGATTTTGCAGTTTGAGAATGTACGAGGTCTGTCCAAAAAGAAACCGAACTTTTCAAATAGCACGCCAACGAGCCGGCCCAGCGTGCTCGCGATGGGAGCACTGTGTAGCGGTGACCTTAAGCTTTGGTCTAATACTAGCTGCATCACGCTACGTCAATTAGTCATCGAGCTACATGCCCTAGAGTGAACGTGTGTTTAGTGCACTTGGTGATTTGTTGCAAGTTGAACAATGAAGGATCTTGAAGAGCAACGTGTTTGCGTGAAATTCTGTTTCAAATTGTGAAAAACTTATAAGGAGACTTTTCAAATGTTGCAACAGGCTTATGGGGAGTATTGTTTGAGTCGTATGCAATGTCACGTGCAAAGGAAGAGGCCTGAGGCGTGGATAAACAAGTCCTGGATGCTGCACCATGACAATGCACCTGCTCACGCGTCACTCCTTATCCGTGACTTTTTGGCGAAGCACGAGACGACTATCGTCCCCCAGCTGCCCTACTCTCCAGATTTGGTCCCTGCGGACTTTTTTTTTTTTCCCAAAGTTGAAATCCACCCTGAAAGGTCGCCGATTTCAGACAATAAAAGAGACAGAAGAAAATTCGCTACGAGACCTGCGCACCATCCCTCAAAACGCGTTCCAGAACTGGAAAAAACGTTGGGAGCCGTGTATCAACAGTGGAGGGGAGTACTTTGAAGGAGACAAGTCTGATTAAGTTGTAAGTAAAGCAATAAATATGTTTGGTTTCTTTTTGGACAGACCTCGTATGAAACAATTGTACAGAGTTTGAGAATGTATGATGTCAATACAAAGAGAGGCTGTAATGAGTGATGATCAAGACAAGAGGCATCAGTGGAAATGGCTGCGGCATATTAATTTCAATACTGTGTATATCTGTGTTCTGGAGAATGTAGGGCCCAGAAATAATGATAAATGTTTCACACATTATTATGTTGATAACTTATAAAACTATATATTGCAGAGCAAAGAGGAAACAGCCTCGTGAACGTAGTCTGTTGGATGACTCCATCTTGGGAACACCAGAGGATCATAATTCCCCAGGGCCATCACCCTCTTACAGAGCTGTCAGCACCAGTGAAGGTTAGTGGATGAGATTCTATAAGTGGTGTAGTTAGAAAACCTTAAATGTAGACAGCACCTCCTCTAACGGATTAATCACTTAGCAGACTCTCTTCAAGATTGTATCTTGTCCGTGATGAGAGGTTACATACAGACATTATTAATATGTTTTAATGTTTTCCCATGAGAAATATTTGTGTTATAGCCCTGATATTTTACATATTATTTGTAACTACCTTATAGTACAGTAATAATATTTTTCAAGAAAATTAGACACATACCGTATATCTCGGCTTATAAGACGGAATTTGAACATTAAAAAAAATCTGCCCAAAGTTAGGGGGTCGTCTTAATCACCAGGTATAAAATTCTTACCTCTTAAATATTGTGGTTTAGTGTGTCAAGAGTGTTGATGGAAACATCGTAAGCCACTCACAAGGCCCTACCACTAATTATTTTATACTGAAACTTATGTTTGGCAAGCTGGATTCAAATTAAGATTACCGGTATATTAAAATAATAAAAATGTATTATAAACCTGTCTAACATACCGTAAAAGAACAATATACCCCTGTAATAAACACAGCTATCATCACACACCCCTCCCCATGCCCCCCCCATTTGCCAGTGAGGAGACAAGAAAGGGAAAGTGACCGCGAGATTGGGCTATTTTTAGCCGTGGAGGTGGTCAGTAATGCATATCGGTATATTTACTGATAATAATACTTATCTCCTATAAATAATTAATTTAAAATTTATTTTTTTACAAGGAATATTCAGTAAATGACTGCATTAATTCTTGAAACTACCGACAGTTAAATACAGACGCTTAAGTGACGTCACTAGTGTTTACACTACACCAGCCGGTAACATTTGATGCCATTACTTGAAGTGAATTGGCCTTATTTTAAGTAACTAACCATAAATAAATACAAAAATTAAAAAAAAAGATCAAAAGTGAGAAATAATATACTGTATGTATGTTGTGTTGTCAAAGTAAGAGGAACAATTGAAACTGCAATTGTGTGTAAATGAGGCAGAAAGTCAGGTCAGCAACCTGGGACTTGGTCACAATTTTCGTGAAGCCATGTGGCAGCAGGGTCTACCATTAGACAACACATTATGCTTCCAATATCTTCCCAGGCGGTAGTATCTACCTGTTTGGTAGCTGCCTACTACCTACACAATTTTTAGTAATATTACTTTGATACATGATAAATTAGACAAACAATGAAAATAAACATCAAATTTAATTACCAAGATGCTTTCCATTGGCAGCTGTAAGAGGGGGAGATGGGCTATTTTTATCCCGTCTTTGTGTCTGAAGTGGCCAGTAATACCATATATTTACTGATCATAATACTTATCTCCTATAAATAATTAATTTAAAATTATTTTTTTTACATAGAATATTCAGTAAATGACTCTTTTAATTCTTGAAACTACCGACAGTGGTAAATTTAGGATGGCAATGATGAAGAAGAAGTCAGGTCATCTGATTCGGAGTTTGATTCTTAATGATTACCATATATGTGTAAGGTGACCACGTCAGGTCATGTTATCTATCCCCAAACGTGATACCCCTTCTCTCATTTGCCTTGTCCAGTTGTTGAGTTATCACTCCATAAGCAATAGCACTCTCTCCATGTGAACACTCCGGTATATTAATATCCAGCTACCATAAAACCTCACCATGGCTCCAATTGTTAAATGCAGGAGATATGAAGCTTGTTTTAAGCTGAAAGTGATAGCATATGCCCAGTCACACAACAATTGTGCTGCTTCAAGAGAATACGGTGTAACTGAGAAGATGGTGCGGGATTGGAGATCAAAGGAACACTTGCTACGAAGTATGCCCAGGAATAAATGTGCAATGAGAAGAGGCACTGCACACTGGCCTATTCTAGAGAAGCACGCAGTAGACATGGTCCATGAGCAGCGTCAAAATGGATATATTGTATCAAGAAACATGATACGTATTGGGGCACTTAAGTGGGCTAAACAAAATCAAGAGCACAACAAAGACTTCAAAGCCACGGCTTCATGGTGTAGTCGTTTTATGGAAAGAAGCAATCTGGTACTGAGGCAGAAGAAAAAATAGCTCAAAAATTACCAGCAGATCTTAACTGTAAAATTGTTAATTTCCATCGCTACATTATACAACAACTTAAGAAACATTGTTATCCATTAAGCAACATCGGGAACATGGATGAAACACCTATGAACTTCGACATGGTCGGTAATCATACTGTTGATACAAAGGGTGCAAAAACAGTGTTAGTGAAAACAACAGGACACGAAAAGACACGGTTTACATTAGTACTTTCATGCATGGCAGACGGAACCAAGTTGAACCCAATGCTAATTCTCAAGAGGAAAACAATGCCCAAAATCAAGTTCCCGGCTGGAGTTTTTGTTCACGTCAACGAGAAAGGGTGGATGGACGAACAAGGAATAAAGTTATGGATTGATCATATATGGTGTAGGCGACCTGGTGGCTTTCGAAAACAGCGTAGCCTCTTAGTATGGGATATGTTCGCGAGTCATTTAACAGAGGGAACAAAAACCAGCATGGCGAGGAACAACAGTGACATTGCAGTTATTCCTGGTGGATTAACTTCAGTTGTACAACCACTTGATGTTTGTCTAAACAAACCATTCAAGGACCGCGTTCGTGAACAATGGAACAAGTGGATGATCAGCGGCAAAAAGTCTTACACGAAAGGTGGGAATATGCGTGCTCCCGAACTGGATGTACTGTGTGATTTTGTTATCAAGGCATGGAATGATATTAATGTGGAAACAGTTATCAAGTCTTTTAAAAAGTGTGGAATATCTAATTCAATGGATGGTATGGAGGATGATATGTTGTGGGAGGACGAGGATGAAACGGAAGCCGAAGCCACGTCATCTGATTTGGAGTTTGATCCTTATGATGATGCAACCATAAATGTATCTCAGGATGTACTTGAAGAACTTATGATATAAGATGTTGATGATGTGGATTTTGAAGGTTTTTAATACATGATGACGTCAGTAATAATCATGTGCTAATAACATTTTTAACTTGTCGGGTAATTTGCTTTTAAAATATTGTGAATTGGTAAATTAAATGTGTGCATGTGTATATATGTATACATACAGTATATATAAATATGTTTGTGTAATAAATGTATGTAGTAAGTACGTAATATTTTTTCACTCAAATCCTAATGAAACACTACTGGAGAACATTCCTTTGTCGCAAAACAAGTTTATAAATTAAAGAAAATAATTATAGTGTGTTTAATATATTACAGTATATTATAAATAAATAAATAAACAAATAATTCGGTAAATCTATTTCAAGTAAATGGAAACTAAGCAAATAAATGTTGTTTACCAAGACCCTTCCCTCTGGCTCAGGGTGAGATGGAGGGTACCTACGTAGATAAGAAGGCTATTTATAGCCCGTCTTTGTGTCTGAAGTGGCCAGTACCCTAATGCACCATAAATAATTAATTTAACATTTATTTTGCATACATAGAATATTCAGTATACATGACTGCGATTATAAAATAGTGTGAATGAGTATATTAAATATATATATGTATATATATATATATATATATATATATATATATATATATATATATATATATATATATATATATATATATATATATATATATATATATATATATATATATATATATATATATATGCTGACTCAGTCTGTACTCACCCCTGAAGATGTGAATTACACGAAAGCGCTTGGGATCTTCGTGTTTTCTTCTTTCTTTGTGGTTATCAGCATATACCTAGATCACGCGCACCTACAGTGATTTTCTTGCATATATATATATATATATATATATATATATATATATATATACACAGTATATATATATATATTGTTACGAATTGGAGATTTAGAATATAGTTAAAAGTCTACCCAGATCCCAACAGGCAACAATAATAAAAAACAAAGACAATCGGACTATAAAAGGGTAGACAAAGGATGCGAGTTTTTGTTGTGTATAATAAAGTACCATAAATTCCTTAACAAAATGTTCAGCTTTCTATAATTTACCCTTAACCATACTTAACCTAAACATTAACAGTATATACATATATATACAACATACAACAATTTTGAAGCAAGTGGACGCGGGGAGGCAATATAGGATAACAAATACTTAAGTGCGGAGCTGAGATGGCTGACGAGTAAGGCTGAGTATTGTAAAAGACAGTAGATAGTCACTGTGCCGTAGGTTTCCAGGATAGGTGATCCTGTGGTCACTTCCCAGAGTGAACTGCCCTCTCATCGAACTGAAGCTGATGAAGAAGACTTGAGGAGGTGACGCAACAACCACGATATGGAGAAGGGAAACCCAGAGTGGTAACTAAGAGTAGTCATACTCGGGTTTCGTCCCTAGATGGCGTTGCTCGTGGTGCTGGGTAGGCAGATCAGGACAATAGATGGCGTGGTTCGTAGTGCTGGGTAGGTAGATCATGACAATTGATGGCGTGGTTCGTAACACACCCCTCTCAAAGACCGAGAAGGAGGTGATCACCAGCGCTCTGGAGAGTAGCTGCTGCATTTCACCGAGCTGGGATAAAGTGAGTCGGTATCTGTTGTCTGAACTTTATGTGCCGGACTTCAGAGATTATAGGCTGGTGAGGAGAGCCCAGCGGAGATTCTGGTTGAAGGTCTTGTTGGTTTGGATGAACGTGTGAGTGTTATGCTTCCGTGAAGATCAGGGTTGTTTGTAGGGCAAGACTGGAGGTAACATTCAAACTTCTTTATTGCCAACACCAGAGCCAGGGCCTTCTATGGTCGGCAGTTGGTCTGATGTTTTTCACCCTGGCGAGTGCAGTGCCGCTGGTGCGGGCGACACTGCGGTTGGGTCGGGTGGTGTGTTTGACATCCTGGTGGGAAGCTTTGAGTTCTTCTCGGCCCTTGGAGCGGGCGACAAGATGGTTTAACGTTTAAGGGCCCTTGGGTCTCACCACAACATGCTCAACGATATGTCCCCAGG